TTTGATGTCAGCGTATAATTGGCGTTACCCAGTTTGTACATTTGCCTTTGTTTGTTGAAATATGTGAGATGTATTAAATTTGACATTTTGCGGCTGCTAACTGTGAGCCATTCTCAGAGCTGTCACCATTTTCTATGACATCTGCTGATTCTGATACTTCCTGGATGGGCGTGGTCAGTCTAATGAGACAAATAAGTTCAAACGCTGGATCAAGACGGCCGTTGAAATCAAGAAGTGAGACGTAGACACCATCAACCGAGGTGAAGGAGCCTCAATAGAAGTGACAGAAGCGAGGCAAAAAGTATGAGCTCAAAAAGTATGAGCCATCCACCCGAGAGACCACCGCTATTCACACACACACACCAGGCACAATACGATACGATACACAATACAAAGCCCACGATGACGATTTTATCACGATATGACGATTATCGATAAATTGGTAAACCCTAACCCATATGCCAATTTATGGCATAAATAAAAGAAAAATGTTAAGTGAAAAATACACTTCATTTCATGGTAAATGGAATGGAGATGCGTAATGTAGCCATATATTAAGTATTGATACTAATAAAACAATAAAAAAATATATATATATCGATACTTGGCAAATGCATATCAATAATCGAAAGTATCGCGATATATCGTCACACCCCTACACCAGACTCACACCTGGCAATGTGGGAGAGGTGGGCACTATACAACTGCAGCCACCCCACTGTGTGACCACTGGTGTTTACACAGGTCTCCCATAACAGAACTAACAGGCCCTGCCCTGCTTAGCGTCTGATGAACCGTTGCACCTCTAGCTCAGGAGTTCTTCCAAGTAGCTCCCGAAAGGATTCAGGAATTCAACACATGATTCTGAATTATTCAATGCAGAGTAATTCATCTATTTTCACCTTGAATGTTTTTCACTATTGCAGGGATTTAATTTTATTTCAATATCTGCCCTTTGTGTTCTATAAAATTAGCGTCCCGATTGAAAAAGATTAGAGGCTGGAGGTCTAGGGAACACCACATTCCCCAATCTTTATTAGAAAACACTAACTTTACCTGCAACTGTTGGAGAAATATTCATGACCACATTAACAACGACTTATACAAACAACACGGCACTATGAAAACGTACAGAGGGAAAATGCGGGACACAAGCGCAGACAGCGGAGCAGGGAGAACGAAGGCGGCTTGATTTAAATGGAGTACGGGACACATAATGAGACAGTCCTTCACACAGTGTCATGGCGTTCGCACTCTCCTCTCTGGCCTGTTTCAAGTGTAATATGAATCAGATCGGTGACAGACCCTTAGCACATACATCTGTCACATCTCAAAAAGCAGTGCACGAAAAGAAACTCCACTCCCAGCGCTTAATGCGACCGACAAACCAAACGCTATGATGAAAGCTGTTGCCATGGTTTACTAAAAACATTGGCACAACCGATTGTGTGTCCTTTGAACTGAAATGTGTGACCCACGAAGGACAGGGGAGCACGGAACAGTGAGATTTTTTCACTTTTTTAGGCTTTTTGTCAATCAGCCGACACACACACACAAAGGCGTTTGGTGGCAGGGAGAAAAGGGCAATGTGGATCCACGGAGCGAAGCCGTGTGCAGACCAGGGTAAGTGAGTTAGCATGAGGCTGCTGGCTCTGTAATAAAGAGTTTAATGGACCCACAGCTTCTGCCCGTCTTCCCGGGGCTAAAGCTAATTCCTCTTTAGTGTGGCTCAAACAGATGCTTGCAAAATATGCATTGTTTTCATCTTCTCATGGCTTCAAACTCTAATGCGTTTACAATCTTGTCATTTGAGGCCTGTTAAGTCTTCTTTGTTTTTAAACAGTAAAAATGTATGAAATTAAAAGCTGGGGTTCCTAACTTTCAAACGACAAAGCCATTATGCACAGTAGTACTCCATGAAACTAGATCCTGGCTCTAAATGAGGTTAAGTCTGGTTCTATTACCACATATTTCTGGTTGCAGCTTTTTCTGACAGAAAAGTGAGGGAGAGAGAGAAAGAGAGGACCGCCCTCTCTCCACCCTGTTACATTGTAGAAAGTACATATTGTATTCATGTTGTGTTACTTGTTTTTACAACTTGTTCCAACATGAATTGTCATTTTTTTCATTCTATGTTGACACAGGATTGTACATTTGATCTGGTTGTATTACAATGTGAACCCATGGGAAATCACAATTGTCTTTTCTTTTTATTTTTCTAGAATTCTACTTCAGTTGCAGGGCAGGGGCCAAATGGCAAGGACTCATTCATCCGTCCATTTTCTTCCCCTTATTCCATTTCTGGGTCGGGATTAAACTCACAAACCCACAATATTATTCTTATGTTCTTTCTGGCCAATATCAGGCATATGCTTTTGAATATTGTCACCACTTCTAGACACCTTTTATGGAAAAATATTTTGAGCGTAGTTGATATGTTCTGACAAGAAAGATGTCAAACGTTGTGAGAGTTTTTTTTTTCATCCGAATTGTCTCAGAAATTACAGATAAATTAGCTCTAAACTAGGACTATAAATCCCACTTTTGACAGTAAGTGCTCCTACTCGATCTGTCTTATATTGACTTATATTGAAAACTCATCTAGCTCAGTAACAGTTTGTGTCACGCTCATCATTTTGGGCTTAAAAAGATGTGGTCTCGTACTTTCTATGATCCCGGTGTTTATTTGTTCATATTGTGTTTTAAATCTACACATGAGCCAATATTGATTAACATATCAGATGCCTTCTTTCTCAAGGTTAAATACAGCTTAGTAACCATCTTAGCAACGTGGAACAAATACCTATCTAAGGAAATCGTTGATTACCAATCAGAGGTACCACCCAATGCTCAGCACCAGTCCCTTTCTGAACCTCCTGCAGGTGGTGGGTCCACAGGAAGATGGCTGCTCCGTCAACGAAGAACCAGCCGTGGTGTTTCAGCTGGCAGGCTTCACGCAAAGTGGGGTTGAGTGGCTTGCCCAAGAACACAACAGCAGTAGATATCAGTGGGAGCAAGTGACATGGGTTGTGGGGGGATTGAACCAACAACCAATAGGTTCAAAGACCAATGCTCTACCAACTGAGCCCCCATATGGAAATTGGCTACAGCTGACTTAGGCACTTGGTTAGTCCACTCCTATCGGTCTGTTCCTCCACCCCAATGATAAAATAAGTGTCAAGTTGTCAGGTTTGTGATGTCACATGAACACAACCCATAGGACTATTGTGTAGAGGTCTGTATTTGTTTTAAAGCCACCATCAAACCAGAGCCAACAGGCAAAAACAGCATTACTCATAACCACAACAGAACTCAAGGGCATTCAGTCCTTGAGTTGCTATTCCTATTCTTTCTTTTGCATGGGATTTCTTTTCAAAATTGGTGTCTGGACTGTTTTGATGAGCCGGGACATCACTTTTACACATGCATACAGGACAAAGAGAAAAGAGCAGAGCCAGGGTGGGAAGGAGAGGGAAAAGAAACTATTCAGAAATATGCAGACGCTTCAAATCTGGAAGCATGACAAAAATGTGTCTGGACTAATGATGTCAACTGGTGTTCTCTTCGCCTCTCACAATCTGCTCGTGTGCCAATACATGTGTGCGCAACGCTTTGATTTGAGCACTTCCTTTTGAGAAGCCTGACAATGTGGTCATCTCCCACCATGTGGAGATGTGAGACGTCCTCTACACACTGAGAAATGTTTACAGTGAAATAGTATTATGAGTTGCCAAAATATCAGTTAATTTATGTCAATATATTCATTCATAAAAGAGTGGGATGTAAATCATTGTTTGAATATTCTTCTTATCCAGTGTTATCTGGGTCTGGTTTACCTTTCCATACAAAGGTAAACTCCCCTCGCTCTGTAACTTTGGTGTCACTCTCACCATTTTTAGATTTCAAAATGATGTGGTTTACCGCTTTGTATGATCCTGGTGTTTTTATTTTGAAACAACCAACGAATCAAATGCCATCTTTTCTTGATTTGGCTTTAAGTATTTAAGACCGGGAATGGACCAGCACCATTTCTTATTGTTTTTTTTTTGTTTTTTTTAATTGCAAGGCTGTTTCTCTGAGAGCAAATTGAGTTTGCTTTAATGTTCCACATTAGGGACTCTGATAGTCCACTTCTACAGTCTATGGTTTCATAGCATTCCATTGTATGCTGGGGAACAGCAGCTCTAAACTGAGCTCCTCCTCTGTGAATTAGCTCCACACCCTGTCTCTTAGGGGGCAACCAGCTACCCTAAAGTCTGAGCACAAGTTTTAGAATTACCCAGAAACTGTGATCCTCAAGGTGGGAATGTAGATTATGCGCTAAATTGAAAGCTTTGCTTTTCAACTCATCTCTCTCTTCACTGCAACAGTCCGATACAGCGGCCGCGTCACTGCAGACCCAGCACACATCCATCTGTCAATGTTTGGATTTACAGAATTTTGAGTCAGAGATCTTGTTTCTATTTCTGAAAATCACTCTCATTGACAAATTTGTAAGAAAATATGTTTTAGGACAAAATATTTTCAAAACTGCCATTACAAAACAATGTCCATTTAATCTATTATTGTGTTTTTACATTTCTATTTAAACATTATGTTCTAACTTCTACTAATGTTTTTAGTTTGCTGTATGTAAAATATTTGAATGGCATATTCACACCAAACCTTGGGACTACAGTCAACTGGCTACGACTGGCACAAACACACATGAGGAACCGTGCGGTTTTTTTCCACTTTTACCCACTTTTCCCACAAACCTTGGGAAATCCATCCGCGTTACTTTCTCCTTTCAGTTATCTACCCACTCACCCACTCGATATCAACACAATACTGACAATATCCATCAACCGCTTTCAAATTCCCAACATCTTTTCTCACACGAATCCAGACCTTCCGCTGTGAGCATGGTGGCCAGATGCTAACAATAACGTCCGTGTTGTGTACGGCGTGGTCTGCCGGGGTGCTAAGGAGTGGGAGAGTGGAAGTTTCGCCGAGGTCACTCAGAGTTCAGAGCCTGCTGGGGAATGAGTGATGGCTCTGGAGTGGGGGCTCTGTAGCGGGCCCTTGTTCTTTTCTGCGCTGCTGTCGGCCCTCACAGCGGTTGACTGAGCCTTGATGGATTGGCAGCCAGTGAAAGGAAACGTAAGCCCTCCACCACCGCCACCGCCGCCACCGCCGCCACCACCGCCACTGCTAAGCCCCCTCCTCGTATCCGCTCGCCCTGTCCGCACCTCCTCCTCAAACGCCATTGTACACCACCCGATTGACTGCTGTGGTTCACGTTTGGAAGAAGAAATGATGGGTTGTTATAAATTGATGTGGTGAGTGACATTGTGGAGATAGTTGGAATTCGGTTTAAGGCTGGAGAACCTACTTTATTTGTCCCAACGGGGAAAAAGAGTCTACAAATCAGACCTCAGCAAGCTGGCTTCATGTTACTAGAAAACTGGTTACTTTTCACACACTGCAAAAAAATATCAAATATGAGGTACTATATGCTGGAATCAAGTGGGTACATTCTGTCTTAACAAGTTTTGCCAATGGGACAAAGGGCAAGGGAAATATATCTTTATATTTAGAAATCAAGATCCTTTTGCTTGTCACTTAGGCAAATGTTGTTTTAAAGGTACTTTTAAGGTATATTTTTTACAGTGAAAACAAACATGTCTTTTAAAATAAGACATGTTTTACAAAGATCTTTTACAAATCTTTTAAAGGTAAAGGTGCACTTTATTAATCATGGTAACCAATGACACATTTTTAAAGGTAGGGCAATTCAATCCTCTGCATTTGACCCATCCTGATGCCACTAAGGCTTACGTCAGGAGCAGTGGTCGCCGTAGTACAGAGCCTGGGCACCCATCTCCAGATGTTGATGGCACAGGGAGAACATGCAAACTCCACTCAGAAAGACCCTGTTCCGACAGGGATTCGAACCCAGGACCTTCTTGCTGAGAGGCGAGAGTGCTATCTACTCAGCCACCGTGGACTCTCCAGGTCAATGCGCCATCTTGAATTACAGTGGTTGATAAGGAACGAAAAGGAGTTGGACCAGGAGTTAGGGACCACTGTCAAAGATGACATATTGTCCTTCAAAGCTACCATAGTACCGTAAATTGCAATACATGATCACAATAATAGATGGGAGTAAAAACTACACAGTGTACCTTTAAGGCAGTCAAAATGTGCCTTGAAGATGCTTGTTTGCATTGAAGTTGAACAGGTTAGCACCATTTCTATCATATAATCTATATCATCATCAAACTTTATTACAGACTCATGGTCCAGGATTAGACAAACGCAACACATAAAACACAAGAGAACACATACAATCACAGCAATAAGCCTCCCTCCTCAGAACAAAACGGGCATACCGGTGTCTCAACAGATCTTTTATCAGACGTTTATGCAATTGTTTAAAAACTGAGATTGCCATTACACCAGTATGCATAAGTGCAGGTCATACACGCTGTCATTTGTCTGGGTATAAACCATATGGATGCTATGAAATCTCTGGTTGTGTCTTGTGCTGATGTATGATCCCAGACTCTCATTTGTCTGGTAAAAAAAAAGAAAAACTTTTTTTTGATGACTAAAGAGTCATCAAAAACAGTTTTTGTATTCATGGTGGACCCCAGGAGGACTAGCAACCACTTGTGAAAGCTATTGGGGATCCAAATAAATACATAAATATTCATGGCAAAGGAAGGTTTCTCACCCATCATCTGTACTTCTTAGCAGGTTTTCAAGACATTTTTCAAGGGAATGAAATCTCAGAGATATTGGAGATTTAAATCATGGTTTGAGATTTCATCCCTTTGAAAAAGTTCTTTGGATTAAGGATGAAACTTCGGGAAAACCTGCTAAGAAGTACAGATGATGGGTGAGAAACCTTTCTTTGCTTTGACTAATCCCTGTACGACTGAGAGCTTACATAAACATAAATAGTCATAGTTACTTTTCAAATTGTGAAGACTTTTTTTAAAAGGCCAGCACCAATTAGACCCGCCCCCATTGATTCCTGATTGGACAGAATTAATTCAAATTCAACAGCTGAGGTCCCTCATGATTGGTCTAACTCAAGGATGCTCTGACTTTATCCATCTAATTTTCCGCTAACCATTAGTTTGAGATTGAGACTCAGATTGGACTTTGGAAGAGTATGTGATGCAGATAACTTACATTCTGACCATATTTTAAGACCTAGATATTAAAATGTAAGACTTATTATCATTATGATTTCCAAATTCATAAGATTGATGCTATTAAGACCCGTTAAAGACCCTGTGGGAACCCAGCAAGAAATTCCAAAGACTTATTCACTGGATGAAAAATAAATCCAAAATTGCTAAATTTTTTCAAAATGTGACTTGAAACAATATTTGCCAATCGGACACAAAAAATGATCTTGTTTTAAAAAGATACAACAAGAAATGTCTCCCTTGGAATGAGAAAATAAAGCAACATTTCGTAAAATAAGACTAAATGGCTTTTCTTATTTTAAGACAGTCAGAATGTCCTCAAATTAAGAGTAAACACTCTATTAAAGCAATGATAACCTCATAGTTTATCATATTTCGCAGCGTTGTCCGTTGAGTAACAATAAACCTGCCTTTTCCCAGGCTACCTTACATCGTTTATTATCTTTCACGGTCCTAGTATAACATCATTTCGTGGTTACATTCTGTGGGTTCATTTTGCTCAACATTCTGCCGTAAGACTTTATATAAGCTGTGATGTACTGTAGAGGAGGGGCCAGACGTGGTACGAGGAGCCCAGGTCAAATGCAAAGTGGCCCCAGGCAGCATGTTGTCTGCGGGGGGCTGTTGTACCTGGATGGAGTAAAGAGAGAGGGGTTCAGCGGGACCCCAGCCCAGCAGAGCACATCAAAGCCATCCCGCTCAGAGCCCCTCAGGCTGCAGCCGGCTCAGCAGAGAAGGCCCGAGGGAGGAAGAGGAAATACAACATGTGATCTGGAATGTTTAGCCTTTGTCTGATTACCTTTGTTTTCTGTATGTTAAGAAAATAAACTGTCAAAATATGTACGGTCTAATCAGGGCTCCCTTCTTCTGTTAAATGATTGATTGCAACAGTAATCCTGCAGCCGGACTTTTGTTACAACAGTGACCGGCGTTAGCAATTATACACTTATAACACCAAGACAAGGTGTATAGGTGCTGTGATAAAAAATAAAAATAAATGCTGTAATGTAAGCCAAGAAATGCATTACAAAAAAAAAATATTAGACAATATTTTAAACGTTATAATCATACTTTTTTTTTTTTTTTTTTACAGTTTTATTGTTTTAATGCAAAATGTTTGAATGGATTTTAAGTAATTTTATTGTGAAGCACTTTGGTCGCCTTGAGTGTTGTAAAGGGCTCTATAAATAAAACTGATTGATTGATCAAAGCCTTGTCTATTGTATTTCCGGTTGTTTCATTCAATGAAAAAACATGATAACAGTTTGAATCTTTTATAACACTTTGGAAGGAAATTTGGTTAAACCTGTTTGTCTTTCTAACACTTTGCAGGAGCCGGTGATTTTCCATCTAATGTTCTGGTTATCTGAGGGTCAACAATTGGTGCAGTGGCAAACTTTGAGAGGAGTCTCTGTTTTGTCTTTTTTAAAGCCCGGTGCATTCGGTTCAACTCTGGTGACTCTGGTCTGTGAAAGGCGGTATATAAATTATTATTATTATTAGTTTATTCTGTTTCACATGTTGTTACTAGTACTGTTACCAGGAGGAAACCAGAGACATGGAGAGAACATGCAAACTCCACTCAGCCTGGTGGTGGAATCAAACTCAGGACCAGAGCAAGTGCTAACCACCCTGCCGCACCCAAATACATTTTTGGAAGTATACATAAACTTACTTACCAAACTTAATTTTGCAAGTCACTTTGTTGCTTAACCATAAAACCCATTTGTTTTTAATAACTGGCCTAATTGTAAAACTGCTAAGGTGCTACCCTGCTCATATGAATAATTTAGTATTTAATAAAAACTAAAGTATAAAAATATTATTTACAGAAAATAATTTTTTCATTTAAAAACACCCCAGAGTTTGTTTCAATAATTAATTTTGTGATAATTAAGTAATTTAGCTGCGTAGCCAATATTGTATTATGAGCATTTCTGACCAAGTACAAAAAGTTCTTCACCGCATGTTTGACGATAACAAAAGGACAAACTTGGACTTAGCTTGTAAACAGAAACATATTTCAATACATACACATATTTTACATGATACATTATAATTTTACATTATATTGTCATGTCTGTTGTCATTTTACACGCTTGTTTACGACCCATGCATGTGAGTGTGTGAGGACAGGGGCAAGGAAAGGGGGTGTATGCGATTGAAGCGGGAGGGGGATGGGGGTGGGTAGTGAGGGAGATGATTATGCCCATCTGTGGAGGATGCCAGGTGTGCTATCCCCTCCTCCCCCCCTCACACATGCACACACACACACATACATACACACACGCACACACAGACGCACGGTATCTGTTCACAGCCCATCAGCAGTCTCCAGCTGGCACACACAGCTCAGCCACCGCCGCTGCTGTGATGGAGGGCTGCTAGCATGTGCGTATGTGCGTGTTGTGTTAGTGTATCAGAGTAGCCTACCTGGAAGTGCATGTGTGTTGTGGTCCTGCATGTTTAATTACAGTCTTTACACGTGTTTAGACAAGCTGTTTATTTAGCCTTTGTAGTGGTATTTTACTTTGTACTCAACACGTACCGCTTTGAAGCCACCTGGGAGCGCAGGAGAACCATGGATTTATCATGAACTAAATAGATTAGATGTATTATAGCATTTGAATAAATAATGCAATTTTTGGAATCTGGCCCGGTGGTCTGCCTCCAAGAACAAATTACTATAAGAACTGAGTCTTCGGACTTGCATCTACTGTATCTATGAAGCAAGGGACATCTGTCTATATGTGCCCCTGGTACTGTGTGATGTCATAAAACTCTATTTAAAATGAAACAAAACATGGAATGGGCAGACAGAAAGATCATTCATACCCCCATGGAGCTCCCCATATAGAGGTACAGACTTTTTTGTTTCTATTTTTTCTATAGTTACATTTGTTATAAACCATTCTTCGAGGGATCTCAGTAGTGTAACTCATTATAAAAGTGAAAATTGGTAATATACAATAAATCAAAGGAACTAAAGTTACACACAGACCTAGAAACAGTGCACATCTGGTTTGTTTTCTCACAACACACAGGAA